CATATATATATCTTTTCCTTAATAAAAAAAATATTATGTATTCCCATATTTCTGTTTGAGAACAATCGGAGTGTCTTATATCAGTTGCCCCATAAAAAAGACATCAGTATTCTTCATGAATATCGTTATATTTCCTCGCATATCTTTGTAGGACGTCCCGCATATATACATATATCTTTTTTTATATATTTTAAGAACATATTTTTTTGTTAAAATTTTAGAATGAACGATGTGTGTATGTGTAAAAAAAAACAAATATTAATACATGACATAAATATTCTTCTGTGTTTTCTGCATTACTTATTTTACGAACATTTTTGTATTTTCGTAAAAAAGTAATGCATATCAAACAGTTTCTGTTTTATAACATTTAAACATGTTATATCCCGTAAAAAATATATATCTCGCGAAAATAATTTTATTTTTCTAGTTCTTTACCCCCTTTTTTTTTGTGGGACGTCCTAACCGTTTTTATGATCTGTATTAGTAAAAATATTAATATATAGAATTCTAAGACGCGTTATCCTGCTGCGGTGTAGATCCTCTTCAACCTTTGACTCCCTAATTTTCTGGCCCGTGCTCTAGTCTCTCTCTCTCTCTCTCTCTCTCTCTTTCTTTCTTTCTTTCTTTTACGTGCGCGCACACATGCATGCTCCTCGCACTCTCTCCTTCTCTCTATATGAACAATGTATATGCTAGCAAGATATATTATGCTGTATGTGTATGCGTGATATAGACTCTATGGTATTGTTATGTATCGTTTCTTTCTTTAACTTTGCGCTCCATTTGTGCGACGCTGCTCAACAGCGAACACTTTACAGGCTTTATTCATCTTTACTCTTTTTACGGTCAAAACTTGGGAGAATGTTGTATATTACTGTTGACTAAAGATTTTAATTCTCGAACTTTCTTTTTGCGAGCGGTATCGCCGATTACTTAAATAATTATTCTTCGTCATTATCACGATTCTCCTTTTCTCACCCTGTTACTATATCCTTCTATTTTTTCTCTCCCTTATAATAATTGCATTTGTCACTATTCACTTTCTCTTGAATGACAAATGTGATTCATCCGATATATCAATATATCTTATATCATATAATACATTACATTTACATATCGATTGTATGTAAGGATGTATCCAGGTAGGAGACATAGCGATAAAATGTAAATTGCAGGTAGCTTTCTTTATATATCTTCATTCTCTGTACTGTTCTCTATGTATCACAGCCTGGGCCGCGCCACTGCCTTTCTCTCACAACAATGTATAATCCTTTTTTATGTTTCCTCTTCTGCTCCTGTTCGAAATGCACATGTTTCCGCACGTTTCCAATATGCAGGGCTTTTTCTTCTTCCTCGTTCTCGAGCCGGCCCTACGTGGCTCGCGTGGCTTTGTTTACAATATGTGACTTCGCGCGCAAGAGAAAATACTGGTACGATTGGCTCGTGGCTCAAAGTGAGCGTTGATTCGATTTAAATAAAATATTTTTGATAGATGAATATTATGGAGGTTATAGATTTAAATAGATAAGTGGCTAGACTTTTCTCCAAAGATCAGTTTCTATGGATCATACTGATTTGATATCACGTTTATTTGATATTATGGATCTTTGGTAGCATAAAGCCTTGATTCTCTGAATCCTTCGTTTCATAGTACTATATGGATCAACTCTTTTATCACAGATGTATCTTTTCTTTTTTTTTTTTTTTTTTTTTGATAGTGTATGTCCTCATTAATACGTTGCTCTTAAATGAACTCATCATTTGCATCATTTACCATTTTCACAAAAATCTTCGACGGTTTTCTCTCTCTTTTTTACAGTTTCACATCCATACATCCAGATCTGCGAAGTACGACTTTTTTTTTGCGTCACATGTGAATCACACGCGAGTGGTGCAGGGCCGGCTTGTTTATGCTTATCCTTACAAACCATATAAAGATCGATCAGTCCAGGATGATACCTAGAGGTGGTCGATCATCGAGAAAGAACAAATGATCGTAATGAACCTAGAACAGCGTCTGATACAATATGTTGACTTGCGACGGTGAGGCAGTGGCATAGTGGTGCACTAGTATAAGAGTCGCGCAGGCCGTTTTCCACGTCCATGCGTCCATCGACGCCGTTGCTGCTGCTGCTGCTGCTGCCGCTGCTGCTGCTATTACGACGTCAAAAAATTTGTTCAGCCGACCGGCGCAATTGCCGTTAATCGGCGACTGGGAAACTAGGGCATCACGTCCCAGATTTCGGCGAGGAAAACTGGCAGCTTCTTGTTCTTAAATTTCAAGTTCAAGCACATCTCACTGTTTTGATTGCCAAGGGTTCTAAGTTCGGTTAAAACTGACAGGAGCTTAGCGAAGATCGTACCAGACTTCGGCCGACGACGATTATCCACGTACGCTTTCAGCGTCTTCAAGTAGATCTCTTGAAGCTTCTCCACCTTTCTGCTTTCCAACAGATTGGGTCTCTCTGCAACAATTATTATTAAATTTAAATTATATGAAATGATAGAAATAATGGGATTGGAATTCAAAGTACATTATTATTGCATATTTCATTGATAGAAGACATGAAACGGTGATCTCATTAAAAATATTCAAAACAACAGCGCTTTCAAAACATTCTACATAAATTAAATAAAAATAAACAGACTCTGATAAAAAGATAAGTTTCTTCGCTTTTGCTAAGACAATTTACATTTGTAGTTGAAGAAATATAGACTATTGAAAAGGATTTTGAATAAGAAGAAGAGGTATTATTATTGATATATTTTGCACCATTATATATAAACATCGCTTTTATGAATATATTTAAAATTTAATACGATATATATACACGGACCTGAAAAAATGACGATAGCTGTGAGTAAAGCATACTCGGCATTATTGACCCTCATGGCATACATTTGACGGCAGAATCGTAAAAGATCCTCGATGGTTTCTCCCATTCCGGCGACATTGTAGCTGTCACGCGTATACGGTTGATTGTTAGCAAAAATGATGCTATCAGTTTGCACATCGTACTTTCTTGCCATTCGCAGCATCATCACTTCACTGGAGCATGCTTTCAACAGGGTAATCTGATCTTCGCGCAACAACTCGTTGAAACCGGGTAACCTCTTCGAGAACTCAACGATCAACTGCACGGTCAGGATCGTAATTTCAGTGATGTGTCTGAAACTGTAGTCACTCGGATCTTCGCCCTCCAGGGGTTGATTCTGGAAGACAAAACGTGTTATGTTAAGTACTAAATTGCTTATTGCATTAATCGTTAAAAACATGAAATTAAAAATCTACACAAAATCTATATAATTTGTAAAATTTATACAATTAGATATAGATTAATATGTACATGACATATTTTTATTTAAAATAATACATGTGCGAACAAATGCATGTATTGCGTTGCAGACTTTTTATAAATTCAATCTTTTTTAAAAAGTCTGCAACATGTATATGTAAGAAGATGACTAATGAAGGATTTATAATATAAACAATACACACAGTCCGTCCAATACAAGATGCAGGGTACGTACCGTAATCCTTTTCAGATCCTCTTCGCTTGGTTGCTCAAATTCACATTGGAAAGACACGAGCCTGTTTATTAGTTCCTCTTGTTCAGGGCTAATAGGCTTGACACAAGTGTAAGGGCTGACAGGAGTGAGAATGCCACTACTTCCAGACACAGACAACGATTCCGCTTCCGCTGGTTCGATTTTCACGCCCATCTGATCACCTATTCCGGCGCTGCCTGGTGAACCATTCATCGTCGTACTATTCGGTTTGTCCTTTTCCTGCAACACATTACAAAGACATAAATAAATAGTAAGAATGTAATGATGTTACAGTAAGAAGAATCCGTAAATGTAAAAAATTAAATACATAAACATATTTAATCTCCAAAGTAATTTAAACTAAAGCAGTGAAATTAAAAAACTTATTTTCTGTAAATATATATTTTCAAGAAATGAAAAAAGGAAAAAAGAAAAGAAAAAGCTATAGGAATCTTTCATAACATGCAATCTCCATTGTTAATATGGATTTAGTACAATTTGGCAACAAGGATTCTTTAAAATTATACATTTTTAACGTTTTTCCTTGATTTTATTTATTAACTATACAAACAAAACTTTGAAGCAAAGCGTGTATAAGAAATTATAAGAATATTTATAAAATATTGTGTGGGCATCTATAGTTAAATTTTAATTCATTACTATTCTGGAGCTTTGTACAATAAGCATCTCTATTTGATTAGACAATTATTTACATCAAGATTTTATTAATAGTAAATAAAAATCTGTTTCAAAAAGTTTTACGAAAATATCCACATTCAAAAGAAAATATAACATCTTCAAAAGAAACATTGTATAATATAAAATACTTTACTGTTGTGCGTTCTACCTTCTGTGCTTTCTTCTCCTTTCTCTTTACCGCACATTGATATTCGGGCACAACGCATTCTGGTCTCATACCGACCGTCAAGCATTTCTTTAGTCTGCACTCCTGACACTTGCGTCGCATATACATGTCGATTTCGCAGCCATTGCCATACTTGCACTGGTATACAGCGTTCCTGGTGATGCTGCGTCTGAAAAATCCTTTGCAACCCTCGCACGTCAGGGCGTTGTAGTGATAACCAGACGCACGATCGCCGCATACAAGGCACAATTCTTCCTGTTGCCGTGGCGTGGGTCCTTTCCTTTTCTTTGCATCACACCCTTCACTAGTACCGCTTCCATTCCCATTGCCACCGCCACCTCCACCACAATTACCACCCCCGGAATTATTTCCGTAACCGTTTATTGAACCTGACTGAGACAGTTCGTCCCTACCTGAAATATAAAATATAAATTTATATTGACAAAAGTTCTGAAATATATTTGAATCGATTATAGTATTATATGTTTGTTGCAGATAAGTATCGATAAGTTCAAAATCTTTTTTTCTCTCTTTTATATAAATTAGATAATAGATTCTTTTCTAATCGTTTTTGTTGTTTACATATAATATAATAGAAATTGATACTCATATAATTTCGATGAGAAAATATATCCGACAAACTTCTCAAATAAATGATTTTCAAATTTTATACATTAAATTTTAAATTAATTTATATTGCTTTTTCAATATTGCAACAATTAATTGCAACTATTACATTAATGATTAATATAATACTTGCATTAATTATATATATTGCATTAATTATTAATACAATATTTTGTTCATAAATAAATAGTGTATGTGTATGTATATAATTTTCAATATACGATATAATATACTATTATAAGTTTATATATATTAAATTTTTTCATGAATATTTGCAGGCTTTTTAGCTGGTGTCTTATAAATATATATATATATATATATATAATAAGTAAATATAAATCTATATTAGTACATACTAATGTAACAGTATTATTATATAAATTATTTCGAAATAGCTTAAATTTTCAACACAAAAATATTGTATTAATATAATTATTATATTTAAAGGCATTGGCTTTTGAAAGATATATTCATCCCCTCCCCCCGCGCCACTTATATTATTTATATATTTATATAATTTATATATATATTAGTTTTCTATTTATAATATTAATTAAAAAATTAAGGTTATGTGTGTTTTATTAAAGATCGATAATATATAATATTATATAATGTGCAACATTCAAAATACCTGCTATCAAATATTATTGCAATTGAAAATGGCAATTTGTAATATCTAAAGAAATATATGCGTAGCAACTCTTCCTTCCTACCAACTGGATAGGCAAACAGGTTTCCGTAACCTTTATAGCGATATCGTTACGCGTCTCTATTACCTCTTTTATCTATTTCCATTCGCCGAGTGAGGCGTAGGCAAGTTAGAAGTCATGGTCGGTGAAAGTATGAACACATTACATATAGTATACGTACACGCTTCGATACATAAATACATATATGTATATAAATATATGTGCGCATTGAGTATAACAGCGCTTAACCCATGTATATAAATATATATACATACATATGTAAACGCATGCCAGTGAGCTTTATAGTATATATTGGAGTAATCTTTTTCCTTATGCTATATCCCCTATAAAAAATCGAAGCCAAAATTAGAAAGACAGGTATATTTTTGGTTAGATCTCTCTCTCTCTCTATCCATCTATCTATCTATCTCTTTTTACGCACATTTAATACCATCTGAATTGAAAACATTTCTCAAGATATTTAGTGATAAAAAGCGATCTGCAACTTCCGGGAAGTGTTTTTGGTTTTATTTATTAATTCAAACTATTCGAATTAAATTGTAAATGGCTGATAATTATTTTATTTTTCTTTCAATTCATAAAATACATGCGGAGAGAAGCGTACATGTATAGTCGATGTTTTTGATTATGATACTATAATGGTATCAACCAATCAGCGAATCCCTGACAAAGATAGCGATCCATACAAGTATGTGTCCTTTTCTATGAATTGGGTCATTCCCCCACCCTTGAAGGCTCACTTCAGTATGTTATGGAGCTCAATGCTCAATGGATGCATGCGGGCGGATAAAAATTGACAGATGATAAAGTCAGCCTAAAACTGAATAGAGAGGTAGTCTCGTTGTGCCATTTTCAAAATAGTTTTTTACTGTTTATTTATTTTTTATATAAAATATTTAATGAATATTAGCAAATATTTGATCAAAATTGTAAGTTATATATAATTCATAATATACTTATAGATCTTATATATCCCTCCCTTCCCAGATAAGCGTAAATTATTTTACATATAATATAATAGAAATTGATACTCATATAATTTCGATGAGAAAATATATCCGACAAACTTCTCAAATAAATGATTTTCAAATTTTATACATTAAATTTTAAATTAATTTATATTGCTTTTTCAATATTGCAACAATTAATTGCAACTATTACATTAATGATTAATATAATACTTGCATTAATTATATATATTGCATTAATTATTAATACAATATTTTGTTCATAAATAAATAGTGTATGTGTATGTATATAATTTTCAATATACGATATAATATACTATTATAAGTTTATATATATTAAATTTTTTCATGAATATTTGCAGGCTTTTTAGCTGGTGTCTTATAAATATATATATATATATATATATAATAAGTAAATATAAATCTATATTAGTACATACTAATGTAACAGTATTATTATATAAATTATTTCGAAATAGCTTAAATTTTCAACACAAAAATATTGTATTAATATAATTATTATATTTAAAGGCATTGGCTTTTGAAAGATATATTCATCCCCTCCCCCCGCGCCACTTATATTATTTATATATTTATATAATTTATATATATATTAGTTTTCTATTTATAATATTAATTAAAAAATTAAGGTTATGTGTGTTTTATTAAAGATCGATAATATATAATATTATATAATGTGCAACATTCAAAATACCTGCTATCAAATATTATTGCAATTGAAAATGGCAATTTGTAATATCTAAAGAAATATATGCGTAGCAACTCTTCCTTCCTACCAACTGGATAGGCAAACAGGTTTCCGTAACCTTTATAGCGATATCGTTACGCGTCTCTATTACCTCTTTTATCTATTTCCATTCGCCGAGTGAGGCGTAGGCAAGTTAGAAGTCATGGTCGGTGAAAGTATGAACACATTACATATAGTATACGTACACGCTTCGATACATAAATACATATATGTATATAAATATATGTGCGCATTGAGTATAACAGCGCTTAACCCATGTATATAAATATATATACATACATATGTAAACGCATGCCAGTGAGCTTTATAGTATATATTGGAGTAATCTTTTTCCTTATGCTATATCCCCTATAAAAAATCGAAGCCAAAATTAGAAAGACAGGTATATTTTTGGTTAGATCTCTCTCTCTCTCTATCCATCTATCTATCTATCTCTTTTTACGCACATTTAATACCATCTGAATTGAAAACATTTCTCAAGATATTTAGTGATAAAAAGCGATCTGCAACTTCCGGGAAGTGTTTTTGGTTTTATTTATTAATTCAAACTATTCGAATTAAATTGTAAATGGCTGATAATTATTTTATTTTTCTTTCAATTCATAAAATACATGCGGAGAGAAGCGTACATGTATAGTCGATGTTTTTGATTATGATACTATAATGGTATCAACCAATCAGCGAATCCCTGACAAAGATAGCGATCCATACAAGTATGTGTCCTTTTCTATGAATTGGGTCATTCCCCCACCCTTGAAGGCTCACTTCAGTATGTTATGGAGCTCAATGCTCAATGGATGCATGCGGGCGGATAAAAATTGACAGATGATAAAGTCAGCCTAAAACTGAATAGAGAGGTAGTCTCGTTGTGCCATTTTCAAAATAGTTTTTCACTGTTTACTTATTTTTTATATAAAATATTTAATGAATATTAGCAAATATTTGATCAAAATTGTAAGTTATATATAATTCATAATATACTTATAGATCTTATATATCCCTCCCTTCCCAGATAAGCGTAAATTATTTCCATTCAACAAGTGACACGTGTCTTTTTCTATTTTCTCACATCGTATCCCAGTTAGTATATTATATTTTTTTTAAATCATTGGATCATCTCCCTTTAAGATTCTCTCTCCTCTCTCTCTCTCTCTCTCTCTCTCTCTTAAAGGTTATTATTATATTTCAGATATTCGCACACTCTCTTCAGTGATTCAAGATTTTTATATACCTGAAATTTTTTATATCTTAATCTTTATATTAAACGACATATCAGTAATATGCAAGATAAATAATAAATTAAAAAAATACGGACAAGAATAGAGAAATAATAAGTATTCATAATTGATGAGAATTGTGTATCTTTTTCTTGCATCTTTTAATGCGCGCATTGTTCATTCTTATCTATATAAATAGAGTGTCCCACTTGTATCATACATTATTTTTTACCGATAGAATTTTTTTTTTCACTTTAGAGTCAATTATAAAGATGCATAATATTAAAAGTTAAAAAGTTACGATTAACGATGATCTTCCTTTTCAATAAGAAAAAGTTAATTTCAAATTAATCAAGTAATTCTCATTATGAAATAATGTAAAATGAAAGATAGAATACAAATGAAAAAATTTTTCGCGGAGTATTGGCACATATATATTTAAGAGAACATATTATTATCTAATAACAATTATTTGTTCATTTTAACATTAATTGAACTATTTATCATATCTTCTTATATATGTATGCGAGCGTGCGTGCGTGCATGTGTGTATGTGTATGTGTTATCATCTCTCGTATCTCAAGTGATAAAAAGATAAATATTTAGGAAGTAGATGTGTAAATGTAAATTTCGTGTTATACGATTGGCAAGTGCGTTTCTATACACTACAAGCCCAGAAAAGATTCGACGCGCGAACTCAACGCACGGTTGCTGGCTTCAATATTCCTCAACAAGGTTTCCATGTTGGTTAGTACCTCTCTCTCACGACATAACAGAGTGAGCGGCCTTGACTCTGGCTCTCTTGGTGAATATCTATACGAGCAGACGCACACAGCCACTCGTGTCCTCCTTGTTCTCTTGTCTTACCTAACAAATGGCGAGTTTTTCCCTCTCTATTTCTCCCACCGCATCGCACTGTGCTCACTGTGTTGAGAGACGAAAGCTAAAACAGGCCAGTGAACACTGCCTCGTTTCCTTCCAGAGATCAGAGGAGATGGTAGACTGGTTAAGCGAGCGTGCGAAAAGAGGAAATGGAAAGACGTAGACGTAAACCCGTACGAAGCGGAAAAAAAGAAACAGATTCACGTGTAAGAACTCCTTGAAAATATGCGTATATTAGAC